ACACACACACACACACTCACACACACACACTCACACTCTCACACACACACACACTCACACACACACACACTCTCTCTCTCTCTCTCGCTCACACTCACACACACACACACACACACGCACACACGCACACACACTCACACTCTCACACAGACACTGAGTTGAGTGGGCAGGTAGGTGGTTCGTGAGCGTGTGTTGTCTCACAGCTAGTTACCGGTAGCGATGAAGCATGTTTTAACCGTGTGCAAGCGTGATTTGACTTACAGGAACCTCACTGTGAAATGTTATTTGTGAGAAGGTGACATCATATCCCCATTTTTTTCCCCCCTCATGCACAGAAAACAAAAAAACAGAACAACAAGCCGTGTTTCCTGTTTAATTGACTGACTTTAGACGTCACAGGAAGGGGTCCCTCCGGCTTCTGAGGAAATGCATGCGTGTGTTTTGAAAGTCTACTCACCCTCCAGAAGTACTTGCGGTTGGCGTCTTTGGGGACACTTTCTGCCGTATAAATCTCTCCCACCAGGGGACCGAAGCGAGTTCCTTTTGGGATGTACTCCCTGCTGCACACTCCGACCACCTACGTGACACGAACACAGATAAAAAAAAAAAAAAAAAAAAATCCATCAGCGACAAGTCTCATTTCAAATACAGAAACACATCATCAACCGGTTGCCGACAAAGAACGGCTGACACACGCCACCTCATTTCATTCATGTGTTCATCAAACCAAAGAATAACTGTAAAAAAAATCTGTTCGTCTTTCAAATCTCTTCCTCTCGTCACACCTCCAGTGGTCGCCACATCAAAACAAAACCACTGCCGCTTCAGACGCTTCAGGGGAAAAAAATAGGACAATCAAAATAATTTTTTTTTGTTGGTGTGTGGCGTAATTCGCAATCAAAGAGGAAAAGGAAGCAAAAAGAAAAGGATTATGTGGCGACTAGACATTAAGCTACAGCCATCGCACACATTTTCTTCATGCTAAAACCACTCAAACACAAGTCTTTCCCAAACTCCCCTTATTCCCTGGTGATGTGGGAAATCCCCGTTTCCTCTTTTCTCTCCACAGGACCAGACACGAGGGGTGTATCAGTGCATCTGCTCGTTTTTTTTCCTGAATTATTAACAAGCTTTCAAAGCTCTCATTCCTTCTTCGAGCTAAAAATTGGTTGTCTTTGATCAGCTTTTCCCTTCTTCCTCTCCTGGTCACAGCAAACATCAGCTGATAAGCAAAACACACTCCTTCTTCTTTCTTTTTCTCACTTCAGTTCCCCATTGGTTAAAGCCACTGATGAGAAAATCTATGCGATCGTGCCGATTTACTGACAAATTCACAGTATCAGACAAAGCTGCGACCTTTTGACCTGCAAGCGGGCGCAGTTTACTTCCAGTTAAACAAAATTTGGGAAAACACAGTGTGCGGCAGGGAACCACAGCTTTTGTGTCAATCAAACTTAAACGATCTTCACAGAAACAAACAAAAATGAAAGTCAGTTTTTTGTCCTTTTGGATTTTTTGATAGATCAACGTAGAAAGTGTGAAAAAAATGAAGCATTAAAATAAACTTTTCTCTAAAAACAATAAGATACGGAGCATTCAGTGAACACATTGCATTATTTTGCCTTGATTCTGTGCGCTCTCTTGCTGTTTCCCAGCCTCAGTTTTTAACCTTTGACTGTTTGACATTTTGACTTTTTCACAGCCAGATTGTTCAGTAAAACAAAATGTTATCATGTTACAGGTTATGGCTGATTGTGAGGTGATGGGGGATTGACATAGGAGCTACGAAACTTCAATTTAACTTTTTATTTTTATTTCCTTTCGCAAAAAGAGGGAAGCCAATATTTGTGCAGTAATCAATATGTTGGAACTGAAGCCTCAATTTATAACAAACTCTGTTTTTTTGTCATTAAAGTTAAAAACAAGTGGACTTAAACAGTTCCATGGGCTTGTTGGGATGCAGGACTGCGCCCCCTGCCTGCTGAGGTTGGTATTTCAGATTATGGGAGTCAAACAAATAAACGAGACGCTGCATTCTAGATTGAACCTCTTCCTATATTTCTCTGATGATAAATGAGTTTTCCTGCTTGGATTGAAGCTGATGAAACAGTTTGTAAAGTGCGTTTGAGCTTAAATTTAGCTTTGGGCTCTTTATTTCCCCCACACGCACACTCATCCCTACTTCCTCTCTTTGTGTGTGTGTGAAACTTTACAACAAGACACGACCCCCCCCTCCCACCGTTCATCATTACATGACCCATATCTGACTCACGCTCCGCTGCTTTCTCTGCCTGTTCGTTTGAGAAACTGTAACCGGAGAGAAAGTTCGCCCGTCTGTGAGTGTTTCGGTGTTACTCTGACCTCCTTGCTGCCTGCCAGGTGTTTGAAGACCAGGTTCCGGGGCAGCGACGCCTCTGCTCTTGTCGTCATGACATCACTGTCTGGCCCCGCCTCCAGCGCCGTGTCTTTGACAATGTACGTGCACTTCTCCTCAAACTCCTTCTCTGTCCATTGTGCCATGTCTGCCTCCTCCATCTCCATGTCAACGTCGGTGTCAGTCATGGTTTCATCGGAACATGTGCTGATGGCTGTGGAGGCCATCTTGGCGCTGTGGGCTGCGTCGTCCTGCTCCATCGTGTGCGCCCCCTCACTAGTCAACATGGCCGAGCTATGAGAGGTCGCCTGGGGACAGAGAGGGCAGGAAGAAAAGAGACTTTAAGTCTTTTGATCTCTTTCAGAACATATTTATATAAACACAGCAGTTTGGGTACTGCGGAGAGAGAGAGAGAGAGAGAGAGAGAGAGAGAGAGAGAGAGAGAGAGCAACATCACTGTTAAAGGACTTCTTTGGGAAAGAAAAAAACTAAAAAAAGTTGGAAGAGAAATAGCGAAATAAGAGATGTATATATAAAAAAGAGAAATTAATAATGATGCAAAAACAGGAAATAAAAGACGAAACCATGACGAGGCTGATCAAACAGAACAAAACAGATGATAGTGAAAGAAAAAAACCGAGAGCTGAGGAAGTAGAAGAAGAAAAAAGATAGAAATGAAAGGATGTGGGTGAAAAGATAAGAAATAAAAAGAGGAAAAATACAGATTAGGATGAAAGGAGATAAAACGCATGAGGAAGACAAAGAGAAGAGGAAGATCAGTGATTATTACATGTGATGACTCAGTGAGGAAAGAGGGGGTCTGACTAATGCCAGTGTCTCACACACACACACACATGCGCACACACACACACACTGATACAAAGAACAGCCAGTAAACCCCTTGTCAACCACAGACTTATTTGGAAAACGGGAGATTTAATTCATTCACTGATGACTTCAGTTAAAGTTTAGCCAGTTTTATTGTTTTTTTTACTGTGAATTTTCCAAATTTAATTGATAATTTTCCCATCTTTAACAAGTCATGATGAGCTTGAATTTCTCTTTCTATTTGTAGAGGAAATGGAAAGTAAAACTTGCCCTGTAACTTCCCCAGATAAAGCAAAAAACAACATATATTTTATGATAAATTGTAAACAGTATTAAGACTTTAGATTTCTTTCACTGGATATAAAGTTGTGTTTAATAAAAACAAAATAAATTAAACTCAAATTCAAGTCAAAAACTTACTTTTAGACTTTTCCTTAGTACAATCCAATTATATGCAATGTACAATTACAGTGTAACACCCATTTAAGAATCCATTTTTTTTAAATCACTTTGTTTTATTTAGATTCAAGGTGGATTTTCTCAAGCAGCACCAATGTAACATTTCCCATGTTTCCTCCCTCCTGACC